CGTACCGGCGTGCGGTCGTGTATCACTACTGCGTGGTGCACGTTAAAGACCCCGGGCTAGCGGTTTTACTGCACTGGCTAAATTGCTCATCTACAGCTGGGAGACTCGTCGCCAGTTGAAGCAGACCAAGTTCTAGGCTGTATAAACATACAACAAACCCAATTTTTCAGGATTTAAATTCTAGACACCACTTTTTAGGAGCTCTCTTTGCCGTTAGCGTGGATGATATACTAATCAAAATCTCTGGTGATTTATTAAAAAGGGAAGGAATATAATGCCGTTTTATTCTCTTTCCGAAGCTCGTAAATATTCCGGGTATCACGTTCCCTTCTGTGCACCTCAGATTGCTCTTTTTGACCTCAATTTCGGAGATCGTTTCATAAATTCCTGGTGAATAATACATATTTCTAAGTTTACAAAAACACATTATATTTATTTATTTTATTTTTATATATTTGTACTAGGTTTTCATATGTGGTTCCGTACGCAACCTTACTCGCAATCCGTTTGAGTAGTCATCTATTCCCAGTTTTTTTTCTTCTACACATTGACCGAAAACAGTAACACAAGCATGATTCTCCTAAGGCCAGAAAACAGCTTTCCTAATATTTATACCACAAACGCTCTTTAACCGGTAAAGATACGCGGATATTTTGCGAAGAGTTTTTTTTTAAGAAATTCTATGTGATGGTTCCCTAAAACATGTTCGTCAAAAAAGATGCCTAAGTACTTAACACACATCGTATGGAAGTGCCATACTTTTGCAAGAGTTGTCATGCCCCAAATTTAAATAAATACCTACCGTTAGCTTCACCTGTTTATGGGAATAACGGAAACAAATAAGTTTAGTTTTGTTGCTATTTACTGAAATAGTATTGGCAGAAAACCACTGCAATAACATGTCCACGTCCTCTTGAAATATTGAAATCGCGTTTTCGTATCTGTCATATGGTAAAAGTAAAACTGTACCGTCTGCATATAAGAAGATTCTAGACTGTAGCGGTAAAAGGGTTAACTCATTTATGTAAATGTTAAACAACAACGGGCCCCAAAAGTGCTCCCCTGAAATACACCGCACTGAATCCGAGTTTACTACTAACACAATTTTCTATTTTCACAAATTGAAATATGACTGTGTGGTAGTCATCCAAAAAATAATAAAATCTGAAGCCCATTCATTCAAGTTTTCGTGGAAGTAGCGTATTATCGATGGTATCGAAAGCTTTGGATAGCTCTAGGAATGAAGCAAGAGCAATTTTATTGTTATCTAATGTATCGTTGATACAGTCCGAAAAATCTTTTAAAAGTGGTGTGCTTTTATTTTTCCGAAAACCGTACTGCAAATGAGTAATAAGAGGAAATTTTTCACAGAAGGAATTCATATTTATTTCAACTCATTTTTTTATGATATGAGAAATTACTGGCAATACAGATATCGGCCGGTAACTCCTGAAATCTTTTTTTATTATCGGCTTTGTAAAGGGGCCTAATTACTGCAACCTTTAGCTGTTTAGGAATTTTTGCTGTTGTAATGGAAGCGTTAATTATTTTAAGTAGTACTTGCTTTAGATGATCGATATTGTAACGCAAAATGCGTATACGTATTTTGTTTATACCTGGAGGCTTTGTTACGGACATAAGATTTACTATGGTTACAAGATCATCCTCACACATTAGAGGCGAGTCTGCCGAGGTTTTGTTACTGAACTTGGGAGCGTATGATTTTGTTTCTTCTGGTATAATTTTCTCTCTTAAATATTTAATGTCTTTGACAAAATCACAATTAGAAGAGTCTGCTAACATCGAGTAGTCATCCACGTGTGCGAAATGCTTCTTGATTGCATTATCAATATTACATTTTTCTTCCTTCTAATTAACCGATTGACAAGATTCCAGGTTTCCGCTCAATTGTTTACCGACTGGCTAAATTTTCTCATGTAATGCTTCCTTTTTGCCAATCCAATTTTGGATATTAGTTTATTGTGCACCTAGCAAAACTCCTTGTTTAGAAGCACGTCTTCAGGTTTAAATTTACATCTGTTCCTTCGCCTGTCCTTGGTGTGACATAATCTTAAAAGTTCTTTGGCAATCCCCACATTTTCTGGTCGTCGCTGTGTGAGTTTTACTTTCCTTTTCAATTTTCGGTATATATTCTGTGGGTACCATGGCGGCTCCCCAGCCCAGTTGCCCGACTGCGGGGCACGGGTGGCGAACTTTCCCGCTTGGCGGCAGAATCAAGCCAGGCACGCGCACATCGCGCGCGCAGTCTTGATAAGGCGGATCAGACGCGCCGCACAGGCTGGACAGGCAGTCGCTGGCTGGACTGAAGCGCCGCCGGTGCTCGTTGGTTTTTGTTAGTATTGTTCGTCGTCTCGTCAATGTCTAATTAAATGAAGTTTCTTGTCGAAACCGTTGGCTCCGTGTTATTCCTCTGGGTCGGGTATGCCGCAAGGCAAACCGACCACAGTTCTGAAACATGCCTACCAAAGTATTATATGCTGAAATGTGGTCCAGGGAGAGTAAAAAAAATGCAATCATATGTTCTAATTAATTGGTTTCTTTTTGCTGTTATCCAAAATTATTCTACACCAGTTACTTCCTACTGAATATTCAGTTTGCCTTTCAGCCCATATCAACAATATAGTAAAGTAATGATCCGCCACTTTTTTTTCTGATGACGTCAGCTAGCATAAGCAAATTACTGACTCTGGTAACTATATGATATATAATTTTGTATTAATTGTATCGCCATAATGGTTTTATCTAGTGAAGTCATGTATTAAATACATTATCAAGTCCAAAAGAAGAGAGACTGTCAAGGTAACTCGAGACTCCGTATTTAGCCTCCTTGAAAACATCAAGGTTAAGAGCACCGGCGAGAACGAAATATTTATTATTATGAAACTTACTAAATAAAGCAGACAGTTTTGCGATGAACAGATTAATCTTGGAGCCCGGTGGCCTATACACAGCACAGACAACGTAAGAGACTACGTCTCCGTGGATGGATACAACGCATGCTTCTGAATGTTCCAATGAAATTACAAGTCTATCCGATGTACACTTCTCGTTAAAAAAACATTACTAGTCTACCACTTTTTTTTCTCGGCATAAATAATATGCATAGACATCATCTATGGTGAACGTTTGGCATAATGTTTTTTCTAGATTAATCTCAGTTAAAGATGAGAGCGTCCAAGGAAAATAATCTTTCTAATAAAAGCACCATTCGTTGATCCCAGTGTTTATTTAAACTACTCACATTCAGGTGCAGTAAGTTTAACTTTATTTCACCAACTTTTACTTCCCTTAAGAATCGGCTTGTGTGTAACTCTTCATGTTTAGCTATTTTTTTCTAATTCTTCGATTTGAATAAACAGCTCAATCCCCTTTTTGGCGTACAAACATTTTCCCATTTCTGGTCCATATAAACTTGTGGGTTTTCTCTTTAGACGGTTCTTAGCTTGATATAACAAATTCCTGTTTCGTCTGGTTACGTTTTCAATGATATAAATGTGTTTCTTCCTCAGTGCCACTCGATTTTGAATTCAGATGCCTCTCATTTTTTCCTCCTTGAACCTTACCGAGAAGGAAGGTATTTTTATTTCCTTTGCTCTAAGCTATGCACTGCATCGACGGCTTCATCTGTTAGTTCGGTAAGTCGTATTTTTGCGGCAAATTCAATAATTACTTCCATTGCATCCTCATTCGGCTGTTGAGTGACTCCGTGAATTTCAATATTCTGTCGTCTAGAATATTGCTCAGGCTTGTCCCCTACGGTTTTTAGCTCCAGTATTTCCACACCCCTTTTGGTAATGTTTTCCCACCAATTCACTAGTCTTTTTCTGCAGACCATGAATTGTTTTTTTTCAAAACTACCCAGTCCTAAAAGTATTCCGTCCTGTTGCGTGGAAAGGCTGTTTAAGAATGCCTCTATCCCTTCAACGGTTTCGCCGTGATTATCAAGTTTTGCCAACATATCATCTACTTTGTTAGTTTGCGTTTCCAAGCGCTTTTCAAATGCCGGTAATCTGACGAGAACGTCTGTCAGCCGCTGGCCGATTACTTCATTTTCCTTTATTAGTCTTTCGATGTTAGTTCCCCGTTGGGTTTTCCTGTGCTAGATGTCACTCTCTTATATATAGGGGCTTTTGCAAATATGCTAATTGACGGCTGGCATGTACTGTGTATGTATTATACAACCCAATCCTCTTATACAACCCAATCCTCGTGGCTACCTTGGGGCACAGCTTTCTAAGCATTTTGTCCCACGCCAGAAATTTCCCACTGTGGTCGCAGTGCTTGCCTTCCGAAAATTTCAACCTGGGGCTGTCTGATGCCACAGATTTCATGTACGCAATACATTCAGACATTTCGAAGGCTCTCAAAGACAAGAAGAACAAATGCAGACCAGCGAAATTCAAGAAATAAGTCCGAGAAGTTCAAATGAAAGAACTACGCTTACCTATAAAAAACAGAGGCGCGGCGTTAGCTTCTTAATTTAGTCAAGTATTTTGCTGGTCTGCGACAAGTTTTTCAGCGTTCAGGGCTTATGTAGTCGAATCCTCCGGACACTCGATGCTGCTGCAAATAGCTGGATCAGCTGATAATGGCCTGCCGGGCGCCGGGCGATTGCTCCAAGCGCGTGCAACCGTAGCTAGAAGACTTGGCGGCGATCCGATCGTCGTCCTTTGCAGCGGTGTTGATGCAATGGGAATCTACAAAACAAAGGCGCGGCGTTAGCTTCTTACTTTCGTCGAGAATTTTGCTAGTCTGCCGTGAGGGCTGCCACGCACGTGCTTCGCGTCCTTCATTCTGATTGGCTCGATGAGGCCTTCGCAGTTTGTCTCACGGTTAACATGCCGTAAGACAAAATGCCGTAAGACTAACCGTAAGATAAAACATATCAGCAGGTGAACGGGAATTAGCACGCTGGCCCGAAAACTCCTCTAGGGCATATTTTAGAGCATACTCTTATGCGCCATTTTACTCCTTTGCAGGGCGGCAGGTTGGTATTCGTGGAACACGTGGCCTATCCAGAAGGGACCTGGGGCTTTCTAATACAGACGCTGGTCAATCCGCTGTGGTCTTTCACCTTCCTTGGATGCCACATAAACAGGAGACCGGAGCGCCTGTTCAAGGATGCAGGCTTCGACCAGATCGAACTCAATCGAGTGTTTCTCTCTATGCCTGGAGTGTTGAGTCCCGCCGTGTACGGCTGCGCCGTTGTAGTCAAAGACTGATCCTGTCGGCACGTACGCTTTTTCTTTTTTTACAGATGCTGGAGCTAGTTCTGCACGAAAAACAGTGTTAGTGGTTGCGCGTCACATGTAACGAGGTTACTCGATTCTTTTTTGGTAACGTAGCAACATATTCGTTACGCTTTTTTTTGTTTTTTCAAAACATTGACGCATAACATACTCACGTTTTTTTTATTTACAGTGATGGGTAACGCAGTTAGGCTCCTCGTTTAATGTTTTTGCCAAGACTTCAAAATTAATACACTTCTTGTTTTAGGAGCCAAGTCATGTATTCTCGCACTCATCCCACAAACCTTGAAAGCATTGCCTCTCTTTTACAGCGATAGCTGCTATGGGCTCTTGCCACCACTTTATATGACGTCCGTCGTCGATGTAGTAGCAGTAGTTGCAGCTGTTGATGTAGTAGTTGTAGTTGTTGTAGTTTGAGATGTAGGGCATCCGTCGTCGATGTTGTAAAATCCTTAAGAAAGAAGAGGAAGGTTTACGAACTCAGGTAATCCAGAGCTTTTTTTTTTTTCTTCGTGGCCAATTTAGACGAAATGACTAAGCGCATAGGCATACACACAAGTACAGGCTATTTTATAGCGAACCGGTCACTTAGCGGCGGACGACAATACAGTCGATATTTTTTAAACACGCCAATTACTCAAGTACTGGCAACCAGTCAGGGGTATCATGTAGCGCACAGTAACCCTCGCGCATAAACGTTACGGTTTCAATTAAAATGTTTTTTACTGTTCGAATGTTCACACCAGTATTATTAACACTCATTTTTGTCCTTCATGGACTGTGGAGGCGGAAAACCATGAACATATTGTAAGGAACCTCCCCTCGTTTTCCAGGGGTAAAAAACCAATGCGGTGCTCCCGTGCTCAGTTAAAGGTAGGTCCTTTTTCAGCGTACGTTGAAGAATGCCATAGTAGAACACTTAGAATTCACCGACCACGGTACAAATATACCTTTCTAATATAGCCATGGTTTAACAGGCAGGGCGCCGCACTGCAATTTAAAGAAAAAAGATTTCACCGAAGGTTTGATCGGTACACAGTACATTCACCAATAGATACGTATCGGCCATCGCACATCTACTAAATCTTTATAAAATCGTTTTCAGGAAATTTAACTGCAATATTCAAAGGAAAGACGCACTTTGAATATTCAAAAGAACGCACAACTGCACACAAAAACCTTGTACACTCGCACATATTTGATCACTAAGGACAGCACAAACCCATGAAGCGCGTACTCCAGTTGCACCTGCATAATAGCACGCAAAAATTATTTCTGGCCATGTAAAAACACAAGCCTAGGCACAATTTGTCGTAGATATAAATGGGTCAATCCTAGACAACCATAAGGAACAAAACGGAATATTTTTGTACGCGCCGAGCGCTTTTAGCTTGAATTCCTCTCGAAAAAAAAAAAAAAAAAAAAACTTATTGCAGCTTCTGCACGTTGAAGCGCGGCATACAGATTAATACCAAGTTTTTACAGTTAAAATATATTATAAACAGTAGTGTGCTCAAACGTCGAAAAGTTCCCACCCCTCCAAACTTCCGCTTTTGCCCTCACCTTCTCCGTATTTTCGCTCCATAGTTGCTTACTGTATCGAGTGGCACCTCGAGATACCTCGCAGGCAAGGCCGTACACAGAACATTCATAAACTATTCGTGTGTGCTGGTCCAGTTACCATGCCAGAGACCTACGCATTCGCCCTAGTTGACACCAATACCCATTTACTTTAAAAATGAGATATCAATGCTGGTTACCTCAAGAACGTGTCCTTGGTCGACACAAAAATACAGAAACGTCGTATGCATAAGAAAGAACCATTACTTCACAAGAGAGTAAATCAAAACAACCGCATCTCCACGTGGTGAATGATGTTGATTGGGGCGAAGCTCTGGTGGTGCTTGTCTGCGTAGACGCTGAGCCGCAGCATGCCGAGCCTTTCGTTCGTTTTCATCCATGTCACGCTGCGGTCAAATGCTCAAATGCGTACATAACCACGTTTCATACCACACATTGTCTTTCTGACATGGATGAAAACGAACGAAAGGCTCGGCATGCTGCCCCGTACGAAAATGTCAGATTCAGGCCGGAATGAAAAATGCCGGTTCCGCCTAGACCCAAAATTGGGGCACCAGCTTGTATCCAGCCCGGAACCGCGCAGTTCCAGTCCCATTTTTAAACCCAGGACCGTTGCACCGCCGGAATTCCCGCTGCGCTCACCACTGGACTCTACAAAAGAATTTCGCGTTATGCCCTTAGCCGTTACAACCGAGATCGTCGTGATTTCAGACCCAGGCGGAGTGGGTCTGAAATCGCGACGATCTCTCGCTTGTAACGGCTAAGGGCATCGCACGGAAGACTTCTGTAGAGTCCAGTGAGCGCAGCGGTAATTATGGCGGCGCACACGGTCGTCCAGGCGTCGTCGCGTCGTCATTAAACAGTGCACGGAACACACACACACAGCACGCACAAGCACAGTATCCAGTGTTGAGTGCGTCGGGAAGTTCCGGCGGGCAAGCGGTATCCGAGTTGCCCAAGTATTGTCACCAAGCACACCAGCGCAACCAGATGCCGAGCCAAACTGCAATGGGTCGGCAGCTTCATACTATATAAAGATTCAAAGCCGAGGTCAGTGGGTATCCATCCAGGGCAACGATGGGCGCGTCAGTATCCTTGCGCCCGCAGCGCGAACGTCGCCGCCGGCCGGCAGTCCGACGGGAGCGGAGAAGAACCGAAACTGTCGAAGCGCTGCCGCTGACTGCAACAGACAATGAATGCAAGGCGCGCGTCGTCGCCAAACACGGTGCACGGAACACACACACACACAGCACGCACAAGCACAGTATCCAGTGATGGAGTGCATCGGGAAGTTCCGGCGGGCAAGCGGTATCCGAGTTGTCCAAGCATTGTCACCAAGCACACCAGCGCCAAGCGCATCCAGATGCCGAGCCAAAGTGCGATGGGTCGGCAGCTTCACACTGAATAAAGATGCAAAGCCGAGGTCAGTAGGTATCCATCCAGGGCAACGATGGGCGCGTCAGTATCCGTGCGCCCGCAGCGCGAACGTCGACGCCGGTCGAGCGCCGACCGACCGTCCAACGAGCGCGAAGAACAAAACTAAACTGACTCGCAGACAAAGCCGGGCGCGCGCGCGGAGAACGCCCGCTCGCAGCGCCCGCGTAGGGGATGCAGCGGAGGCGCCTGTCCCTAACACGTGACACGCGAGAGACCGCGAAAGCGGCGAAAGTGGCGTAAGTTCTCCGTGGTTCTCCGCCATCCCCCCCTCCCTCCCCTCCTCCAGTCACGCATTTGCGCGCCCACGGTTTGCGCGCCCGCTGGCTGGGAGCCGCTGGCTGGGAGCAGACCCTACTGGAACAAGGGGAGCGGATCAGATTCACCGATCACCGTGCGATTCCAGTGCGTTGCGTCTCACTGGATTCGACTGGTTATGCCCAGAATCGCGCTGATCGGAACTGTACAGAAGTTCAGAACTCCGCGGACCCGAACTGGGACCGCTCCCATCTGACATTTTCGTACGGGGCGGCTCACCGTCTACGCAGACAAGCACCATCAGAGCTTCGCCCCAATCAACATCATTCACCACGTGGAGATGCAGTTTTCTTTTTTTTTGCCCTGCACGAGCACGGGAGCACGTGCTCACGTGCTCGTGAGCACGAGCATCCGACGCCGGACATCGGACGGACATACGGACATGTCTAGCCCCTAAGAAGCTTCGCCCCTAAAACACGTATACAGTCAATAGACAGTTTTGGTATAGCATTGCTGGATCTTACGTACTCAATACGCAATAGTATAGCGTACGCTAAAAATGACCTGCTCGGACCGAATTTAGTTGTGCGTTACGTTTTCGAGTGAACACCGCGCATAATCTTGGTTAAATTTGCTAGAGCCGTAGAATTCCGCGTGCTTATAGCGCAACCATGCTTCTGGAAAGAAATATTGAAAAAGAAAAAGTGTCCAATCATTTTATTTCAGATTAAACCAAGCCACAGCTGCCTCGTCAAGCGCGCTTTTCTGCGGGTTACAGAGGCTACGAGTAAAGAGTGCGTAGCCAAATTCGATCACGGAGCCTTCGTCAGTCGTCCCGCGGAAACGGCACCTTTTATCAATGCTATCGCGGAATGAAACTCATGACCCTGATGTCCAGTGCATAGCGAGAACTTCGGCGATTTCTTTTAGCGTCGTTCGTGCGTCGGCGATGAACTGTGGGATTAGGCTTAGCGTTGAGCATATTGCAGCGTCGACGCACACTGCGAGCGTCGAACATTTCCACTGAGCACTCCTTCAGCTGCAGGGCGATCTGATTCGACCGCGGTAGGTCCCAGAAAGAATCGCCGAGCTGAACACCACGCAGTTTCACGTAACACAGAACTTCGAAAATACCACGTCGCCCTTGCTGCGCCAGTCGAGGCAACCGCCATCTTGAAACTGGCGCTCTCGTTGGGTCCGAGATCTCTCGAGAACGTCCCGCAAGGCCCGCTAGCCAGCAACGCAAAATCCCCAGCGTTGCGTGCGTACGCAATAAGCTAGCCCTTCTATCGCGTTCTGCGCATGCGCACTCACGACCCGCAATCTCCTTGCGTACGCAAAGCTATAGCGTACGGTCCACTAAAACTGTCTATTGTTAATAAGTTTTAAACGTAAGGGTTCCAAGTAAATCGGAAGCCGCAAGGGTAAAAGTCTATAGCCTTGCCCTACAGAAAAGCGGACTTGTGCACTTTCACTTACGTTCTTATTTACAGTGATTGACAACGGACAATTTGCATGCACAATTTTATAACCCTCTAAAATTACAGACCCGACATCCGCATGCCCCAAATTATAAAAAAAAAAAAAAGCCGGTGCCGGGGGACATTGAACATCCTCGTTGGGCTCATTTCGGGTCCGGCGGCCCGACTACGGTCAAAAACCGGTCCCAACACCCTCTCCCTCGGCGGAAAGGCTGCCCCCCTAGTACAGTATTTGCACGCGCTTTCGCCGGGCCGGGGGAAGAAACGGCTGTGTGAATGAGGCCTAATAGGGAGTTTTAGTCGACCGTGTTTCCCCCTCCGCTAAGCCCCTCCGCTACCCGGAACTCAACAGCCAGGGCCATCGGCACGAAGGCGTAGTGACGATTTCTTCGTTGGGGAGGGCTTAGCGGAGAGGGAAAAACGGTCTACTAAAATTCCCTAATAACTTTTTCGGCCATATTTGCTGTTACAATACTTTCTAGGGGAACTAGTTCACTCGTCACAGTCAAAGAGGGCATCTCGTTCTAGGTGATCCTGTGGTAGGGAGATATGGTCGCATCGACCCTCCGTCATAGGAAAAGTGGACAAACGTTTTCACTTCATTCATCACCTTTCTGACTTTTGTTTATCTTGTTTTCTAAACAGTCTACCATCCCACAAGGGAGTATTGTCCTTCGTTGTGACCGCTCTTTTCCAATGCAAGCACTCTTAAGGGTTCCTTTTAGAGGGCTGACCTTTGTAAGGGAGTGCTAAGGTTTAAAAAAAGTTTTTGTTGATCTGAATAAGGTGAGCGTGTTAAAATGTTGATACTTAAAACTAAAAAAAAAAGACACGAAGGACGTGGACGATACAACTTTTATTTAGCAACGACGTCTGATTACGGATTCAAAATTTCCGGCTGTGCCCGAGATCACACTGATAAGGGGGTGCTAAAGAGAGGAATGAATGGGAGAGGAAAACCATGAAAGTTAAAATTGGTA